AGTAGATTGTGTGAGACTCTGAGATTTCCCAAACTCTGCTGTACTTTTAATAGGAGTTCTGGAAAGATTGATTCAGGAAAGGCAGACAAGGTGGTATCAATGTCGTACCGGGGTTTGATTTGTCTTGGCCAGGACAACTGACAATAGATCCGGGGTCATGGAGACCAAGCACCCAGAGTCCAGGTTTGCGTCGCCGGACGGGATTGCCGCTAGAGTAGATGAGAGTGACACAGCTGCTTGACCGGCTGTCACCTTGAGCTCAGAACCCGAGAAATCAGATTCTCCGTCTTTGGCAGTACCAAAGGGAACAAGAGGTGTCGCCTTGGCTGGCGGTTGAGGAGGACGGCGCCCGTTTGATTGGTTGCGGTTTGAATAGGCGGTTGCTGGGGTGCTAGGGGTTTGGCTCGATTTATGGGCAGAGATAAGCCTTGCAACGTTGCGACATTGATTCAGGTTGTGTCCCGGCACATTGCAGAAAGTACAATGTCTGGCCGGCGGACCACCAGGATCGGAGTTAGGCTTTGACGTGGCCAGTTTAGTTTTGGCCGCAGACGACAATTCCACAAGAGTCGTTTCTTCTGAGCGGGTTTTGCGCCGGAGGCCTTTGGCCTTGAGGGCGTCAATAAGTTTTGATGGCTGAATTCATGGCTCGTTAATCATTGACGAGACACAAGAAAGCCAGTCGGAAGGAAGAGAGGTTAAGATCGAGGCTGAATAGATGTCCTCTGGCGTCAGAGGAGAATCGGCCGTGATGAACGAACTGAGGCGCTCAAATGTTTTAGCCATGTCGTCAAGGTGAGATTGTAGATCGTCATCAACCATGCGTGAAAGGGTTAGTTTTTGAAGCCAAAACATGACTCCTCCAGCAGAGGAGTCTTGATGGGCTCGTTTGAGTGCATCCCACAATCTGCGAGCGTCCTGTTTGAGATGGCGGACGTTCCGGATGTTAGTCGGATGGATCGTGCGCAATATTGTGCCGCAGATTGCCTTGTTATCCCGAGACCAACTTGGTTTTGCTTTGGCAACCTCTGGCTTATCGTTCAAGACGTAGTTGACGTGGGTGGCAGAGAAGTGAATTTCCAAAACCAACTCCAGTCTAGGTAGTTGGAGTCCGATCCAGGGGGTTTTCGTTGTTCGACCCCAGATAGTTTGAGTGTTGGGATGACTGGGAGACTTTGGAGTCGTTTGCGGTCGTGTAAGAGTCACGTCCGACTCTTCACTGTCGTCACTTATAAGGGATCGAGACTGGCAATAGGGCCAGGAGAGAACTTTTCTAGAACCTAAGTAAGTCTGTATTTCATTGTTCTAGCTTGATAGAATAAAGGGTAAATGTTCTCTCAGTACAAGGTTATAAAATCAAGAAAGGAAAGAAGAAGAAAAAGGAAAAGGAAAGATGAAGAGAGTGAGATGAGAATTGGGTTGACTTACCTAGCTCAATAGAATAAAGGGTAAATGTTCTCTACCGAGCTAGGAAGGGGGTGGAGACGAGCGGTTTAACAGGTCGAATTGGTTGGGAATGATTATGTAATCTTTTGAGTTTGGATTTGTGAAACCCGTGTGTAATGAGGTTTCACAGGTTGACATTTTGAGGCCCGTCAGCGTTGAGTTTTTCCAAACAGATGAGGAAGCAAGCGGATTCTTCGATTCCAAGTCCATAGGGGGGGTAGTGGAAATGAGGTATTCTGGTTTTATGTATGGTGATGGGGGTGAATTCATGGGTAAGGTGCTTTCACAACAAGCATACGGATCCTTTATAGTGCACTAATGCTCATAACCTGATGAGAGGAACTGGGACATGCAGTGAGTGATGTGGAAAGGATTAATTGTATTAGATAATTCAACATCATAAACAAGCAAAAGAAGAAAGAGAGAGAAGAGGAGAAGAAAAGAAAATAAAAGAGAAACACATACCTGGGACACGCAGTGAGTGATGTGGAAAGGATGAGGAAAAATCCTTTCCACAAGTGAGCTGCTGCCCCAGGTATGTTCTACAGCTGGTGAAACTTGTGTGAAATGTGAGTTCTGGAGATGTAGCATACAGAATACAACTGTGAAACCCAACAATTTCCGCATTTTTTTTTTGATGGAGACTTATCCCTCCATCCTGGGCATGTCCATTCCAAACTTTGTCTTAGGAAATGTTCATGATTGTCTTCCAGTCATTTTTGGCACAAAGAACAGCCACAAAAAAAACATATTAACATGCAAGCATGGTTGTATTTGACACAAGCCTCTCCCGCACTTTGTGCGGCACTGAGAAGGCTGGGTAAGCTAGCAATTCAACATAAATTTAGTGGAAAACATCATTTGCATGTATAGTGCTGTTATCCAAGTTTTCATTCCGAGCGCTGTGGAAGGGATAGACTGGACGAGTCAACAGATACTGGAGGACTTCCCGTCGGATCTGGGACCCTCGCAGAAGTCGATCTAAAGCCGAAAACTCTTAATTCTCGCAGAGGAAATTGAATTTTGCGGCTCTAAACCGACTCTGGGAGACCCGCAGATGTTGACGGGGAAGTCTTCCACTGTATTTACATTGCAGGGCTGTTTGACAAGAATTGGGATCATGTATCTTTTGACGATGGAACTGGATAATTTG